AGGGGAGGAGGAGTGGCAGCATATGGGTTAGTCGCTGGCCCTTCCCTATTTTTTCAGTCCGCGGATGGAAGGCCGTGGGGGTTTAGTCGGTAGAAATCCGACACTGTTCCCGGTCCCTCCAGGGGGCTGGGTTCGCCTATGAAGGTTCCCCCACGTAAAAAAAAAGATAGTCTTACATTGCGAATTCCTGATGCCGGAATGTTCACCTTAACCAGGTCTCCTTGGGGTGTAATTCAGTTACTTATTTAGCGGAAATATTCTGTTATAGGCTCAGCCTGATTCTATACACTCCGTTAGGCTTATTCCGTAACAGAAGTAGCATTCTGTTTCGTTTATAGCGATAGTTTGGGTGCTTATTTGACCCAGAAGCGCCTATAATCGCTCACAGGCACTGTTCAAATTTTCAGAGCAAATCACGTAATATCATGTTTATACTTTGTTTGGTAGCGTGGCAACCTCGTTAGATCGCTTGCCCGTACGCGATCACCAGATGCGAATTAAATTCCTAGGCTGGAGTTGTAAGGCCCAACTTTAACTTTAGGCATCGTTGATGGTCGCGACTCTTCGAATTCCGAACTTAATCAGAAACCGACTAATTCGATTCTGATCTCCGAACGATTGAGATCAGACTACCGATTTCTTACGATGTTGAGAATTCGTTTTTGCATTCCGTGTTTCAAGACGGAATTCTCGAATTTCGAACTAGTTGCTTCTTCGGTGTACGAAGCTGATTTTGTTGAGAAAAAATTCTTTCCGAAGTGTTTGAAGAGAAGTCTTTGAGAGAAGTGTCTTGCAAAGTGTTACCTGTTGGTGGTTTTATACGGCATCTTCAGGTCGCATCGAGTGCGCTGATTGGATGTTTCCGAATTTCCAATCAGTGCATGTTTAAAAAATTCGGAGACGTTTGGATGACGCTCTTTGGACAGCCCTCTTGGTGCGAGGGTGAGGGCTATGGCCACGTGCGGGGGGTCCTCGAAGATTCGACAATACTTCGAAAACTTCCTCCAGGTTGACCCTTGACTGAAGGAACCGTTATGAATTAGCTTTGAGTCGACCTTTTAGAAATTCCCGGTTTATGATGTGGTCGGTTGTCTGGCCGAATGAAGCAAAAATTCCAAAACGATTGTCTGGAAAAATGCGGTACAACTGAATAATTTTACTATTATTTAGGGTGAAATCTCCCATCGTAAAAAAAAAGTAAACTGAATTCGAAAAAAGCTAATCCCGAAAAGAAATTTGTTGGCGCGTCCGGTTCCGGTCACATCACGGATCCGAGACCACGGTTCGTCTCGCGCGAGTCCAGTGGGAACCGGGACCGGTCTCTGATTGTCAGTGCTGCCAGCGGGGTAGAGTGTGTGTCCTCTTTCACTCCAGGCACCAGAACTGAGGGTGCTGACGAGATTGGTACGTTGGGGAGTGTCGCACCACCAGTAGTGGCAGGGTGTATCTGCCGATCCCCCCCGACGTCGATGAGGATGCGTGTACGGCCTCTGACGCATCGGAGTCATCAACCCGGTCCATGGAGAGCCGCAGTTCGGGTACTGGTGGGAAGAAGCGAGGGCGTCCACCGACGTCTGGCGATTACGTTGGCCTCGCGGAGGCTAAACGTAAATATGTGGAGGCCTGTCAGGCGGAGGCGGAGGTGATGGAGGTCGAAAGGATACTCGACCCCTCGGTTCTCCCTCCGCCGCCAAGGAGATCCGCCATTCCCATCCCCGAAAAGCAAGGCCTGGAGGATGACTTCCACCGTCAGCCGACGACGAATGTCGCGGCTGCGGTCGCGGAGCCGGCAGTGGTCATAGAGATGGTGACCGCCGTCTCTAAGGGCCTGCGGGGAAGTCTGGCACGGGCCCTACGTATGGCCGCTCTTACGGCACGGACGGGGGTGACTGTCATTGCCACTCGGTCGGCGACTGCAGCGACAAGAGCTCTGGAGGTGGAGCTCAACCTCCTCCGAGGTCAGCTTGCGGAAACGAAACCCAAATGGCCAGGCTCCACGAGCTGGTAGAGGATGGGCAGGCTCTGGTGCCTCCTTCGTCAAACCCGGTACGACCGTCGGCGTTGAGCACACGGCCGACACAGGGACGGATGGAGTCGGCTGTGCGACCTCCAGCGTCGCCGAGGATCGGGGAAGGATTGAGGTATCCCGTCGGGCCAGGGTTGCGCCCCGACGGCCGAAAAGAGGATGGTGACGTTGGTCGGTACGGCCCACACCACCGACAAGCCGGCCGGTCCGGCACCCAAGGTGCCAAGTAAACAGACGGTGACCACCCCACAACCAATCCCGGTCACCGAGTGGGCAAAAGTTGTGGGGTGAAAGGAGAACAGGAGGCAGAAGGCGGTAGCCACCATCTCTCTCCCCACTTCCGCCAGGCCTATTTCCGCCAGGCTGGCGAAGAACGGGCCGGGAGTTGGTGGCAGGCAAGGCATAACCGTGCCGGCCAAGAAAGTCGCGCCCCCGCGACCCCCTCGTACGGCGGCCGTCTCGGTGACTGTCCCTCCGGGGGCCAGAAAAACGTATGCGGGTGTGCTGGAGGCCGCGGGGAAAAGCATCAACCTGGCGGAGATGGGGATCACCTTCCTCAGGCCGAGGAAGGCGGTAACTGGGGCCCTAATTCTTGAGGTCCCGGGGAAGATGAAGCAGCCAGAGCCGACGCCTTGGCGGCCAAAATGATAGTGGTGCTGGGGGGCAGTGGGTCTAAAATCGTCAGACCCGTGAAACGTGCGGAGATCCGCATTTGTGGGCTGGTCGATGGAACCACCTCGGCTACTATCGCGACGGCCGTCGCATTGATCGGTGGGTGTCGAGTGGGGGAGGTGCAGACCCGAGAAGTCCGGCCTTCCTCCTCTGGGTTCGGCACCCTGTGGATCCAATGTCCAGTGGTCGCCGCCAGCAAATTGACGGTGGCTAAGAAGCTGGTCATTGGGTAGACCCAGGTGACGGTGGAGACTCTCCAAGCCCGACCTGTGCAGTGCTACGGATCGCTTGGGTCGCTGTTACAAGCGCTTGCAAACCCTACCTCAAGTGTCCGGTGTGTTCGGACCTGGGGAGGCCCACAGCGCACCGCCTTGGAGGTCGGGCGTGCCTTGCTGGGGCCGTCCAGGCTAGAGGCCAGAAATGCAAGGGGAAGCTTGGGGCTATGGCTGCGGCCCCAGCAGCCCCAGCCGCGGCGAGCGCCAATGCTCACCGGTCGCAGAGCCACCGACGGCGGGACCCGCGGTCCATGAGATGGAGATGACCTCAAACGAATAATGGGGCCCGAGGGCCTGATTATACAGGTCAACCCACACCGTTCTGCCAGGACGCAAGACCTACTCATGCAGGTCCTGGCCGAGTGGGGTGTGGGATTGGCCGTCGTGGCGGAGCCGCATCGGGGCCCCAATCACTCTAATTGGGTGGGAGATTTGGACGGCTCCGCCGCAATATATAGCTGCGGCAGGCAAGGATCGTCGTCGTGCACGCTGGTCGAGCAAGGACGGGGATACCTGGCTGTAGGCTGAGGTTGAACCGTGGTGGTAGTGGTTTACGCACCTCCCAGGTGGACTCTGGAGAGGTTCGAGGAGCACCTGGACGAGGTGGGGAGATGCGTCTGCCGCTGCTTACCTCGTCCGGTGTTCGTCCTGGGAAACTTTAATGCCAAGTCACAGGCTTGGGGAACCCCAAGAACAGACTCGAGGGGCCGGCAGGTGCTGGTCTGGGCGGCGGGACTTGAGCTCCGACTGATAAACACGGGCTCGGTCCATACGTGGGTGCGGAACAACGGGGGATCTATTGTTGACCTGACATGGGCAACACCTCCGGCCGCGCGCCGTATCACGGGGCGAAGAGTGGCAGAAGAGGTCGAATCACTGTCGGACCACCGATATATAGTGATCGGCCTCTCCGATACCCCGCCGTCGACACTACGGCGTTGCCCGAAAAAGGAGAAGCCACCACCTCGGTGGGTCCTCAAGAAGATGGACCAGGACGCCCTGATGGCGGCAGCCCACGTCATGGCCTGGTCACGAAGAACGGCCAGGCCAGTCGACAGGCAGGAGGAGGCGAAATGTTTCAGGGGCGCAATGACGTCCATTTGCGATGGCCATGGCGATCGCCATACCCCGGGTCAAGTTCCTCCTAAGGAAGGCGGTTTACTGGTGGTAGCGCGAGATAGCAGAATTAAGGACCAACTGTGTTCGCGCGCGGCGCCAGTACACCCGCGCCTGTCGACGACGACGGTTCGACGAAGAATGGGCTGCCCAGCGGTACAGGGCCTACCGTGAGAAAACGGTGGCCCTGCAGCTGGCCAACAAGACGGCGAAGGCCCGAGCATGGAGAGATCTCTTAGGCTCTCTAAACAAAGAACCGTGGCGGCGCCCTTACAAAATGGTAATGGGACGACTTCGTCCATGGGCACCCACGACCACAGAGAGCCTGGACCGCCAAGTACTCGGGGGATCGTGGACAAGTTATTTCCCCCACAGAAAGAGGGGTCCCGACCCTATCCCGAGGCAGGTGAACCGGTCGCCGACTGGTCCCCTGAGTTGGGGGTCACCGAGGAGGAGATGGTCGGGGTGATACGTCGGATCCGGGTGAAGAGAACCGCCCCTGGTCCTGACGGAATCCCCGGCCGAGCCTGGTCCTTGGCTTTGGGCGTCCTAGGAAAGAGACTCCGCGGCCTGTTTACCGCGTGCCTGAAGTCGGGGCTGGTCCCCGACCTATGGAAAACAGGGCGGATGGTCCTCCTGAGGAAGGAAGGCAGGCCTGCAGATTCTCCCTCCGCGTACCGGTCGATATGTTTGTTGGACGAGGTGGGCAAGATGTTCGAGAAGATCATCCACACTTGCCTCTTCCAGCACCTGTTCCGCGACGGACTCAACCTGGCGGAATGCCAGTATGGTTTTCGAGAGGGCCGATACACCATCGAAGCGGTGGATCGGGTGAGGCCCCTCTCGGCGGCGGCCATCAGCCGTGGCGGAGTGTGCTTGACTACATCCCTCGATGTAGTCAATGCGTTCAACACCCTGCCCTGGACCGCCATTAGGGCAACTAGTCCTATGGGCTATAGGTCCCATTATCTTAGGGCGATGATCGGGTCCTACCTGTGGGACAAGGGGATTCTGTACCGAGACCGGTACAGATTGACGCGGAGGCCGGTGGACTGTGGGACCTTGGTTATAACACAGTCCTGCGGGCCCCGCTTCCCGACGGGTCCACCTTGGTGTGTTACGCAGATGACACCTTGTCGGGAAGTAGCTCGGGAGGATCATTGCCCGAGCGGAGGTCGCGGTGGCAGCCGTCATCGCGCGGATCCACGACCTGGATCAGAGGACAGATCCGGGCAAGACCGAGGCCGCCCGTTGAATCAGACGGCCTCGGTCGAGAGCTCTCCCAAGGTCGTCGATCCGGAGAGGTGGAGCCTGCATCGAGGTGGGCCCTACCTCGAGAGCCACTGGAATTTCGAGGCGCACTGTGACCGTCTGGTCCCCCTAGTCGAGTGGGCGGCGGCCACTTTGGGCCGTCACATGCCGAATCTCGGGGGAACCGGGGACATGGTGCGCCGCCTTTACATGGGCGTGATGCAGTCGATGGCCCTATATGGGTTTCCCATTTGGGCCGCTACAGGGATGAGGAGCCGGCGCAACTTTTGGACCTTGCGCCGGCTACAGCCGCCCTTGACAATTAGGGCCATCAGGGGGTACCGCAACACGTCCTCGTTGGCGGCGCTGGCTCTGGCGGAGGAGATACCCATCGAGCTACAGGCCACGGTGCGCGCCTATGTTTATCATAGGTCGCGCATCGTTGGCCGGGCTCGAGGGGTTCCGCCAAAGCCCGAGACGGTCGAAGCATTCAAACTCCAGGCCTGGCGATGCGTTTTTGGACGATAGCGTGGAGAGTTGTCTCTCCACACCTATAAACGCGTCGCCGTGGCTCTTCTGCCACACCTAGATAGGTGGCAGAAAAGAGGCTTCGGCAGGCTCACCTGCCACATAACACAGGTACTCAGCGGCTACGGTTGCTTCGGTAAGTACCTGTGTCGAATTGGTAGGGAAGCGACGGCGGCTTGCCACCATTGCGTCGAGAAGGAGAACACGGCGCAGCACACACTGGAGGTGTGCCACGCCTTTTCAGCGCTGCGCCGAGTCCTAACGGACGTCATTGGGGGTGACCCCTCGCTGACAACAGCAGTAGGGGCTATGCTGACAAGCAAGGGGTCCTGGAATGCTGTGGCCACCTGCTGCGATGAGGTTATCTCGCAGAAGGAGGCCGCCAAGCGGGATCGAAAGAGATACGATCCTGCTCGGTTATCTCGGCGACGCCGGCGGCCGAGAGGCCGTGGAAGAGCGCTCCCGGGCCCCACCCCCTGACGAAGGCAGGCGGCGGCATAAGTGGCCATGGAACTATGGCCCGTCCCGCCGCCCACCAGGAGAGGATTTAAAATCCGCACCAGGGTTGGGGGAGGGACAGAGTGGTCCTCTCCAAACTCGGGACGATGGCCGTCGTGATGGCTGCGGTGTGGGGCGCGACCTCCCTGCACTGCAGCATAAGCTTATTACGGTCTTTGGACGGCGCCGGCCTTTTTTTCACCCTGGATAACCTGCTTCAGGCGCCCCACGCCTTTTGGGGAGACGCGGGGCAGTGTGAGATTCTTACTCACTGAAGCTCCAGGGATGTTCCAGCCTCGGCCTTTACAGAGGGGTCCCGGGTACCAAGCAAAATCCCTCCGGGCGGCCCCTCTGGCCATGTATGAACCATACGCAACGCTATAGTTTACAAGTAAACTACCGGCACCGAAAGATATCGTGTCTCAAAACGCGGAAAAACCCCTCGCGGATCACGGGGCGCAGCCACGAACAACAACGCCTGTGCCCTTCCCACCCCGGGGCCGGTATACGAGCCGCCTCCAGTCCCAATTGGAGACGCCTCAGGCCCATGGCGGGGATCCCCATTTAAGGGGGGCCCAGCCACGACGACCGAACATTTTTACGTCGGAGGAGCCGCCGGCGGGCCCGGGCTTCACGCCCTGCGACGACGTCGACCCCTCCGCCCTCCCACACGAGAAGGATAGGAGTCGCGCTCCCTCTTCCTCTCCGCCGCCACCTTCCGGCGTCTCGCGTGCTCGCAGAAGGAGGCGAGGGCCTTCCATTTCTGACCCCCCACCAATTGTGCCCTGATGAGCCCGCACGGAGAAAGATCCCCCCTATAATATGGACCAGGACCCGACGTTCCACAGCCCACGCCGGACAAAACTCCAACGTGTGCTGCGCCGTGTCCCGGTCTGCGACGCAGTGGTGACACCGCGCATCGCGCTCCCGCTTAATGCGACACAGATACTGTAGTGTATGTATAGCGAGAGCGATAGAGTTAAGGAGAGGGGAGGATGAATGTGTGTGCGAGTGAGTGCTGTGTGTGTGTGAGATTGACGCGCGGACCGAGAAGGACCGCAGAGTAGTCATAATGAAGTGTCGAAAGTATATACATTGTCTGGTGACTTCCTCGCATCCTTCAGGAACAGTGCAGATTCTCCCCCTAGCACCCGTGCCCGGAGAGCATCTGTGTCGCGCGGAAGGTGAGCGATACCCACCGCTGTCCCGCCAAGCCCCTCAGCTTGCCAGAACAGCCCCGACAGCGCGGTGAGCGTCC